TGCTAGCCAATCGCATTGCTGGCAGCACTTGTATTTAAACAACACTCGATGTCCAGGTCACATTTACATCATAACATGCGCTAACCAATCAGCGCTCACAATCGCAACTGCAAGTTTCGCTCCTCCATCAGGCATGGTATAAAAGGCGGAGCCCAAAGCTCGCAATCATCAGTCAACACGCTCAGTTCAGAGCGATCAGTCGTCAGAGGCAACAGCTCTTCACTGCGACCAGGCAACCAAAGCAGTAGCCGCAAGTCTCCAGCAAACGCAGCTTTCACAACCCCAGCAACTGGCCGAGCCAGCTGTTCCTACCAGCGTGCGCACCACTGCATCACCATCCAGACAGGCCAGCGAAACAGCCGTAAGACTCTGCTTACTATGGAGGAGTGAAACCTGCCAGCACACTCACAGTGGAACGAACTGCCCTTAGAGGGCCAGCCAACGTTTGAACATTCCACATATATCCTGTATTTTTTAAATTCAGTTTAAGCGATTTAATATATACAGTCATTACAGTTTCACGTGGTTGTCATTTGGAACATTGACAATCCCACAGATCCTTTGCATTTGGATCACTTGCCAAGATGGACTTATTTCTAAATGTCTGTATCACTTCAGAGCCTTTGCAGGTATTTATAAAGAGCTGCAAGGAACATTTTGGTGTTCCCAGTCAGTATGCAGACCACTGTTACATCTGTTGAAAGGACAGGAGATAGGTCTGCACATGTATGAGAGATGCCTTTCTTAATTGTTATGGCGGTTCCTCCTTTGTGCCCATGTTCATAATCAGTTCAATAAATATCATAGTTTTGAATGTAGAACCTCATATGATGTTTCAGGTGTGTCTGTGACAACAGGGCTGTGTCTTTTTTTCAGTTTCTACAACTGTTTTCTGACCTCATAGAGCTTCCAGTGTCATTAGCATTGAATGCTATGATTTTCAGAGTTCTATGAACTGTTGTTGGCAATCTTCAGCAGAATTCTGTTTTTGTTGTGATGGTTGCAGGTGATGCTGCTGATCAGAGCTGTGAGATTGTTCTCAGTGAGGAAATTCTGTGTGGCATTGTAGTCATCACTGAGATCTCTGGCTCCTTATATAATTTGTATAAATCTTTATTATATCTTATTCTCCATATCCCATTCTCTTTTATTGGTCCATAAATTTGTCTTACGATTTTCCTTTCGAATGAATTGATGAGTGATTCCTCTTTCTTGTTTAGCGTCCAACCCTCACATCCATAATAAATCACCGGTCTTATCATTGTTTTATATATTTTTGTTTTAATCGCTCTGAAACTCGATCTGAAAACTGATAGTAACAAGAAATATGCATTATTCGCTGGTTTTATTCTTCTTGTTATTTCATGATTTTCCTCTCCATCTTTGTGGAATTTCTATTCTAAATATATGAAGTCTTTGACTATTTCTATCCCATCCCCTTCCATGTTAATTTCTCCAGATTGCCTTGGATTGGGTTGAAATCCTGAGTGATATTCTCCTATTATTTTTTCTATATATGGATCCAGTCTCTTTTTTAGTATCCTTGTTAAAATTTTATATGCTGTTGGTAGTAATGATATACCTCTATAGTTACTACATGTTAATTTATCCCCTTTTTTAAATATGGCTCTTTCCTCAATCATCTGGTATCTTTTCTTCTTCCCACACTTTATTTATAATTCTGTGGAGTACTATTGTTCCTTCTTGTCCTCCTGCCTTCAATAATTCTGCTGGTATGTTATCTCCTCCTGGTGCTTTATTTAGTTTTTGTTCCTTTAATGCTTCTTCCACGTCTTCCTTTGTTGGAGGCTCTATTATCTCTTCCTCTTCCCCTTCTCCATCGTCTGTATTTTCTTCTTCATTTTCCTCGTTATCTTCCATATTCTGATTTTGGTTTAATGTTCAAAATATTCTTTCCATGTATTCATAATCTCTGTTTTATTATTTATTAGAAGCCATTTTTTGTCTCAGATAAATTCTGTTTTTGGTTTGAAACCTTTTTTCTTATATTTGATTTAACCAAAGGCATTTCTTGTTTTGTTATTTTTGAAGTCTTCTTCCATTTGCAGTAATTGCTCATTTAGAAAGGCCCTTTTCTTGTGTGCTTTCTTTCTTGCTTCTTTATATGCCTCATTTCTTGCTCTTGATGGTCTTTCCATATATTCCATATACTTCTTATTCTTGAGGTTTATACTCTCTCCGCATTCCTCGTCGAACCATTCTGTATTATCCTGTTTCTCTTGACATCCCAGAATCCCATCAGCTTCTGTAATTATTGCGGCTTTAAAATCTACCCATATCCCTTCTACCATTACTTCTTTATTTGCTCTATTGTCATTAATTTCTTTAATTTTATTTTGAAATGCTTCTCTCTTATCACTCTCCGTAATCTTGTCAATATTAAATTTCTTACATTTCTCATACTGCTTGGATCTTTGACAACTTATTTTGCATCTATGAGGGTCGTACTGAAAGTCATGAGCAACACTTTTGTAAAGTAACATGCTTTATTATTGACAAACCAAATAACCACCTCAATCTACAGACCTTTCTTTATTTTTCCTCATAATCGCCACTTCTTTGTACACATTTTTCCCAGTGTTCTGGGAGTTTGAAAATTCCCCTTCTGTAAAATTCCGTTCCAGCCATCCAAAGACACTGACGCACTGCTTTCTGAATTGCCTCCCTTGTCTCAAAATGGTCACACAGCTGATCCTACACAAATCCGAAAAGATGGCAGTTGGAGGGTGCCAGATCAGGGCTGTAAGAGGGGTGTGGGAGAACTTCCCAGCCCATCTTTGCAATTGCTTCCAATGTGAGGCGAGGAGCGTTGTCATGCAGGATGATGATGTTTCATCCCGGACGTTTATCGCGCAATGCACGACGGAGCTTGTGCAGCGTCTGGACATAACGAGCAGCATTGATGGTTTGCCCAGGTTCCAGGAATTCGGCCAAAATAAACCCCTCTGCATCCCAGAAGACTGTGCCCATCACCTTCGCAGCTGATAGCACTGTCTTTGCCTTCTTTTTTGATAGAGAATCCAAATGGTGCCATTCCATACTCTGCTGTATTGTTTCGTTTCAGGCTCGAAATGGTGAAACCAGCTTTCGTCACCTGTCACAATACAGAGCAGAAATCACAGCCTTCGTGTCGATATCTCTGCAGCAGTTCTGAGGTGATGGCTTTTCGCGGACCTTTGTGGTCTTTGGTCAATACCTGCAGGACCCAACAAGCACAAACTTTCCTATAGCCCAAGCTTTCAATCATCACTTGTACTGCACTTTGCCCTATTCCAAGTTTTCAGTCTATTGTGTCCACAGTCACACGTCTGTCATTCTGAATGATCTTATCCACTCTTGTTGTGTTCAGTTGAGGCTGTTCGAGGACGACCGCTCCGAAGCAAATCTTCGATGCTGGTGTTCCCATCTTTGAAATGTTTCACCCATCTTCAAACACTGCTCGCACCCATGCACACACTTCCATAAGCAAGCTGAAGTCTCTGGTGAGTTTCTGCAGCAGGGATTTCCTCTTTCACAAGAAATTCGATGACAGCACACTGGCGAAATTACATGGTTGTTGGCCATTTTGTTAGGAGTGATGCTGGTCATGTAATGCAAGCTATTGATGTCACAAGACACTCAAGGTTAACATAACAGCTGGTTCCACCTACCACCATACTCTCTTTTGTCTGCTGTTCCCAGGTTGCATGCAAAAAAAGTTGCTCATGACTTTCGGTACCTGTACTAAGTATGATCACTATCACAGTTGGCCCCTATTAATGTTCTTACAGCCAGGATATTTGTCGCAAATCACTTCTATATGAGGACATGATCTATTTGATTGAAGGTTACCCCATCCGGTGATGCCCATGTTCTTTTATGTATATTTTTGTGCGGGAAGTATACAGAGCTGATGATCAAGTTCTTACTTTCTGCAAAATCTATTAATTTTATTCTGTTATGGTTGGTTGTATCATGTAAACTCTCTGTTCCAGTTACTCCTCTGTATTCCTTCTCTTTACCTATTTTGGCATTAAGATCCCCTAAAATAACCTTTATGTCATTACTTGGTATTGAATCATATGTCTCTTCTATTTGTTGATAGAAATAGTCTTTGACCTCCTCTTCTTTTTCTTCTGTAGGTGTGTGCACATTCATCAACGTCATATTAAAAATTTTGTTCTAATTCTCAAAGTGCAAATTCTTTCACTTATTGGTTTAAAGTCTATTATTGCGCTTTTAAATTCTCGTTCTATTACAAAGGCTACACCAAATTCCTTATTGCCTTCTGCTTTGCCATTGTAACATACAGTGTGTTTCTTTAAGTCCATGATTCCTTTACCCAGCAGTCTAATTTCCTGTATGGCTGTGATTTTCATATTTTCATATCTGTTCTAGTACCAATTTCATGTCACCCAGTTTATTGAGGGTTTTCACATTCCACGTACCTAGATAGTAGTCCATATTCTTTGCCAGTTGTCGTCTTCCATTCTGTTGAGGTTTCCGAGGCTTGATTCCAGGTTTCGAAACATTTGTATTTTTTATGGTGAGAGGTCGTCAGCCTCTCACCCAACCCCCAACCTGGAGGACCAGGGTATATCTTTTAGTCTGGGTCATCCCCTTGGACCTGTCCGGCATGGGTGGCCCTACCAGTAGGTATGCTACCGCCGACATAGCTGTCAGGGTCATTTGACCACGCAAGCCCCTCCACTACGTCAGAGTAGACACACCATTGGGAAGGGGGGGGGACCCTTATTCTAGTTATGAAAAATTATCAGTAGAATATAATTTGGGTTTAAACCTGACACTAACATAAAAGGAAAACTACATGGCCGAGGTTCAGCTTCAATCCTAAGTTGAGGAACATCAAGTGAGAATTCTCATTAATTTCCAGAACATGAACATACCCATATGGGTTTTGATATTTTACATATACTATATAAAGCTGCTGAGTTGTATTAATACACACTGTAATGAGTGGTCATCTTCTTTCTTAACAGGTTCCAGGTCCAGAGCAAATGCAGGTGTGGAAAATTTCATGGTAAATATATCTCTCACATATACCTGACAATAATAGCATGTACATTCAAGCCTGGAGACCAGACTTTGATATCTGAGTTCTGCTGCTCCATGCAATCATAAATAGACATAGGGTTTTTATGCACTAAAAACTGACAAACTAATGCTGTCCAAATGCAAAAATATGCTATCAGATGCATGTACTGAGTTGCTAATGTTTTCTCCTTAGGTACTTGTCTTCACAATTTTTCTCAGTTATAAGTTGTATTGTTGTATGTCACAGTTTTATATATATGCTCTGGAGTGATTTTGTGGTGCTTGTTGGTCAGGGTAAGTTTGTATGTGGAGAAGGATTTTTGTGTCTGCAGATGTGACAGGTCAATATTTGAATGCAGCTGCAACATTTGGAGGTATCTGCTCTCCCTGTAAACATTTCTACCACAGAAATGACAGCCTCATATCCTGGATTTATTTCCACATCATTTCTTTTGTCCACATTATGTGCATTTTCTACAGAGAGATACTTCAATCCAGCTTGTACTTTTGCATTGAAATGTGCTTCAATTACAGCTAGATCTCTCTGTACAATTTTAGTGTCAGATGTCTTCCTAGCTTGCTGAATTGATATAGTGTCATTCAAGTTCAGACCATCTCTAAATGACTTAACATCATCAGAATGATCAGAATGAAATAGGACCTAATCAGTCCAATTTCTTTGTTGGGTAAGGATATGTTCACAGAGCTCATAATAAAAGGCATTGCTCTCAGAAAAAGGGCGCATTTTCTGTTATTAACGTTTGTCTTGAGGTACTCAGTTGCTTTCTTAATACTTCAGTGGCATTTAAGTTTGAATGTTATTTCAAATGATACTTTCATTCACGTGGAATTTATTTCGTACATGGCTGACAGAATGTAACATGATCTGTGCTATATTGTCCATCATTTTCAATCCACTGCCTCAACAAAGTGAAACTTGATTTCCAATATATAAATAAAAATAACTACTAAAATACTTCCTTGTCCTGTAACAAGTATTTTGCCACATCAAACATGAATCCACCAACCTAAAGGACAGGCTGTGATGATAATGCTGCCTGGTCAGAGCTGTCACACACAAAAGGCAGCAGCAGTAGATCAGTGTTGAAGAGTGGTGGAAAGTTATAGCAGAGGATGGCCAAAGAAACATGGAGAAAACTCTGCTCTAGTGCCAATCTTTCCCATTAATCTCACACAAAGTTACCTGGTAATGAATTTGAGGCTTCATAGTGAAAAGCCAGCATCAAGACGCATGAAAAATGGGCACTGTCAGAACTTTGCACACTAATTGTCATTCAGAATTCATTATAACATGTACTAGTATGATGTTGGTGAATGGTGTACAATGAAATTAACAGATGTCTCAGCAGGGTACATAAAAAATTGTTCTTGTGCTTTTTAAAGTAGGTTATTTAATGATGCTGGCAATGTCAAGATTAAATAGCATCAGCAATGGATGGAATGAGAATTGATTGAATGACCCAATACATTAGAACTATACAGGGTGTAATTGAATATATTGTAATGTGTTTGCCGCTTCTGACACCAGTTTTAATGTGTTTAATTACTGAGAAGCTGTTCGCATTGGTAGTTGGTTTTATTAACCACTTACAGGTCGTAACTACAATTACTTATTACACTATTGCGAGTTTACACAATTTATAATCACTACACCCTGATCTATTCACTCTGTTGGCTGTAGTTTTCATGTATTTATGACACTGGAGCTATAAAAGTATCACTGAATTACACGCTCCCAATCTCGTTGCACTGTAGCACACATAAAATCTTGAAGTCACACAATAAGTCTTCACTGCTGATTTCTCAGCTATCACTCACTATCACCTAAATCTTCCAATCACACTTCACGTCCTCACAGGCCAGCCTCCTGTATTCTTCTGTACTCCGTTCGCGTGCATCTCTCGTAACTAACTCCGCAAACTCTCTCCGAGAACCTCTTTCTAAGGAATTCCAGTTTCTCCTATAAACTCTCCATTGGACTAGCAGAAACACACCTTGCTTCGCTGTTGTGTAATCACCATATTTACAGAGGCATTGCTAGGCAAACTCTGCAGAGAGACGTTTACTGCAATGCTGTGTAGCAACCAGTGTGTTGCGCCTTCGCTCGGCTCAGCACTGCATGGCACAGAAAAACACCGCTGTTCTTATTGTTGTGTAATAAGCCATGTTTACAGATTTCTGTGGCCCAGCGATTTCTGCATGGCATAAATGCGCTACAGTATATTACAAGTCTCTGTGGTAGAGAAATGGGTTCAGTCTGATCATACTTCTTTAATACACCAATGCCCGGAAACGCTTCCTTTTGGCACTAAGGGTCACAGAGAGGAAGCACAAGTTTCAGGGGATGTTATTGTTGTTTTACATTGTAAAAATTGCCCAAAATGGCAGCTGACAACTTCAGTGCATGTTCTGCACCACCTGGCTATGTTTTGCTGAATTCTTTGAAAGATTCCTGGCATTTCCTGGATGGTTCCAGCTGCTACTGCAATTCTTGCCACAAGATCATGTTATGTCTCCACTGGAGTCTCATATGCCAGGCTTTGCATGTACCCCCAGAGAAAGTTTTCCAGTGAAGTCAAGGTAGGAGAGCGAGGGTGCAAGGTTGTTGGACCTCCAAGTCCAGTCCATCTCTTGCCAAAGGTTTCATCCAAATACAAACGACATTAGTGCAGTTCACCGGGGTGCAATCATGCTGGAACCACATTTCATGACATACTTCCAAAGGCACCACTTCCAGCAGCTTGGGTAAGGTCTCTTGGAGAAATATTAGGTAATTGTCACCAGTAAGCTGCACAGGTAAGGGGTAAGGGCCTATTATATGTCCATTGATAACCCCTGCCCACACATTGACAGTGAAGCTGTGTTGGTAGCTTCACATATGCTTCACGTTAGAATTATTTTGAGCCCATACATGGCTATTTCTGGGGTTGAAAATGCCATCTTTGGTAAAGGTATACTCATCAGAAATCAGATTGAACTGATCTATGTACCACAGAGCAATGTAACATATATTTATTTCTCTGTTATCCAACAGTCAGCATGGGTGAGTAGTACCACCTCCTCCTCCCTTGTGATGCGGCAGTATTTTGTTTCATCACACAGATGTCTCTATGCTAGGAAAAATAATGAAGACATTTTTCAAAGAGCTCTGAGTGTTGTGAACTGTTACATATGTGTAAACTGAACATGATGTTACAAATCACATTTCAGTCGATGTTCTTACGGTGGTGGCTATGAAGAGTTGTGTCTTCTGGGATATGATGCTATGTTGCCTCTCTCTTCAAAGTCATTGAGTAAGCCACAAGAAGCCAGGATGAAACAGGCAGCAAGCAGAGCGGTGAAGGGAAGATGACCAGTTACAGTGCAGCATATTATGATGGGACTTTGGACAGCAGAGGTGGAGGAAGACTTCAGCAATAGCTTCCTGCTTCATGCTTGTTTCTTGCTTGGCTTACTCTTGGACCATGAGGATGGAGGCACTGTGTGCCTCCAAAACATTGGTTGTCTTTTACAAGACTACAGGAAGAAGACAGAACTGTTCATTATAAAACACACGTGAATAGAAAACAGCTAAAATTTGTTGAACATACGCAATAGAAAAAGTATATGAGGGTATTCTAACAACTTGAATATGCAGACATACACACTGTAAGGTTTACTAGTAAAATGTAAAGCTATCCCTGTACCAGGCTGTGAAGGCCTTATGTGCCAGCTGTGCTTTACTCCCCAGGAAAATTATTTAATTAATTCCTGGTACTCATTTCTGTTAGAGGCTGAGTTGACCCCAGGGCCATAATGTGGCTTGAAGGATTAGGTCAATTGAAAAAAATCCAATGACCTCATCAGGACTTGAACCCGCGACCTTCCGGCTTGTAGCATAGCCCCTCAACCAACTATGCTACTGTGCCCCCAAAGTTTACTAGTATGATTTCTTAAAACTTGAAATGTATACTGACACTGCTTGTATAGAAGGAAATTAAATATGCATTCAGGTAAATATCTCATATATAGTAATAAGCTTTAAGTCTTGTTCCAGCTGTCCTCACAGACTGACCATGAGTTCCTTCAGTCGCTCCAGGCAAATGCTAAAACTATCTTAAAACAGGTCACAATCCCTTCCTTTAATGCTGTATAACTTTTACAGATGGTAAGATATTATTAAATAAATGAAGAAACGAACTAGAAGCAACCAGATCTCCCAAAGAATTTGACAGTTCTTAACAGAAGTTCACAGTCATGGCTGGTCTAACTGTGTTACTTTGTTTTCAGTCTCGAAAGAGGAAAGCTGTGCTGATGGACTTGGAAGATGAACAGGAAAACAGTCTGCATAGCAAATCTCAGAAGTGTGACCCAAAGGCTAATGTGTGGATGCAGTGTGACAAATGCAAGTACACCACACACTACAATGCTTTCATGATTCATCACATACGCCAACATGTGAAGAAAAAAAATGCTACTTGTGACTTTTGTGGGGAGGAAGTGCAGGTGGGAGGTAGTTGCACAAGGCAGTGCAGTGTGAAAAAGAGCAATGCTGAAGGAAAGCAGAACAAACACACTCCAAATCAGATCAAGAAATACTTCGCTTCAGATGGTAATGAAGTCATGCGTTGTGAAGGTTCTGACACTGCAGAATCTGAAACTGTAGATATGATCACTGCAGAAATAAATGAGTTTAGGGCTTCTGAGAGGGGCACCAACAGTCCAGATGTAGTTATTTCAACGGTACAGCCCACAGAGGGAGATGCTGTCAAGAACAGGGTCACTGATATGTTACCTGTGATTGACAAAGTAGTGGAATCAGGCACAGCAACAATCATCATTGATCAGAGTAAGCAAAATAGTAATTCTTTGGAACTGACAAAAGCAGATGATGTGACTATTGAGGTCTCTCACATTCCTCAACATACAGAAGGGGATGTGGAACTGCAGTTGAATGATGTTGATGGATCCACACCAACTGCAATATGTGTGATGGAGATGTCCGAGGACAGCTCAGCAGAACAGCCTACATTACTTACTGTGCAGAAGATGGAAGAAGAAGGCAGTGCGGTATATGTGCAGGTTGTGGAGGTGGGCAAGGCAGAAGAGATGGAGGATTCCAGAAGCATAACCAAGCAGGTGTTGACTGTGTCAGAAGATGGTACAGTTGAGATGGTAGAAGTCATGTGGGATGACATGGTTTCATCAGATGTGGGTACTGAACAGGATATACGTTTTGGATGATGCTGAACTTAATATATGTTCTGTTGTTTCCAGCTTTCTATCAGCTTCCTTCCCCTTATTTAGTTTTTCTTGTTCAGAAAAGCTTTTAATTTATTAATCACTAAGTTATAGTTCACAGAATAACATTTTTGGTTTAAGACAAACCCATGTAATTGTAAGCTTATGAAATATATATTTACTTTAAAATAAATATCATTATATTAATATGTTTTCATCTCTTGGTTTTTGCTGTATTTCCCTTATGTTTCAGCCTTATTGTTAAGGAATAGAGTAAATATTGCCAAGTTGCAATGAAGTGATATGTCATGTTCTTACGATGATTGGCAAATGTGATCAATCAAATGACTGACTATTATAGGGAATCCTGTGAAGTCAACTGCCTGTCATAGACATATCTTTTTATGGAATTGGCAAAATCATAATATAAACATCAACTCTCTTTATCTTGGACACTTGCATGTGATGCATCTGGTCTATCTTGTGTTTCATGCTATAGTCCTCCAGTGCAGGTGGTGGTGGGGGAGACAGGGCATATACAAGCAGTGCACGTCTTACTTCAGATGCCGGATGCTTCTTAACGTCTCTCAACCCCCCCCCCTCTTCTGGATGGTTCTGGAAGCTAAGGAGAATGGGGTTTACTAACAGCCTGCAAGAATGTTTGAGAATGATGTACCTGAATAAAAGTGAGATTAATGATGAGATCAGTGATTCTGTACTTGGAAGTGTTACGCAGTGAGCCCTGTGCTGGCAGTGATGATAAGGGTTGAAGAAGACAGTGCAGTGGTGTTCACTGAAAAACTCTCCCTCACCTTTCCCTTGTGTGTACCTACTAACCATCCTTTGCTATTTGTTTGAGATCAATAGTTAACAATCCACAAATCTATGCTTCCTCATGTTATTCAGTATACCACAGGGCTGCTGTATTTTTCATTTTTATTTGATCACTGAAATTCATAAATTGAGATACTTCTTTAACATTTACTTCTAACTTATTTACTTACTCACTCATGAAGCTGAGAGTTTCTTGAGGAGCCGCCAATTCTGCAGCTACTCAAGAACTTCCCAGCATTTAATGGAACCCGAAGGTTGAGTAACGTGTTCACAAGAGCCCTCCACTGGTCTCTATCCTGAGCCAGATCAATCCAATCCATACCAACCTTTCCTATATCTTAAGATCCAGTTTTATATTGTCCACCAACCTGTGCCTTGGTCTTCCAAGTGGTTTCTTTCCTTCCGGCTTTCCCACCAATATCCTATATGCATTCCTCATCTCCTCCATTCGTGCTACATGCCCTGCCCACCTCATCCTCTCTGACTTGATCATTCTAATTATACTTGGAGAAGAGTACAAGTTCTCCTTATGCAGTTTACTCCAACCTCCTGTCACTTCATCTCTCTTCAGTCCAAGTATTCTCAACACCCTGTTCTCAGACACCCTCAGTCTGGGTTCCTCTTGTAATGTCAGAGACCAACTTTTACACCCATACAGAACCATAGGCAAAATTATAGTTGTGTATATTCTAATTTGTATGTTTTTTGAAAGCAGAGGAGAACACAAAAGGTTCTGGACTGAATGGTAGCAAGCATTACCCGAGTTAAATCTCTTAATTTCCACCTGAATCAGGTTTCGGTGCGTTCATATATATATATGTTTATCGTACATTTCTTTCATATCTAATATTGCTACGGAATGCATTTCCTGCTGCTGAATGTTGTAGCTGGTGGTGAATCACGCGATGTCCACGAGATGTCAGTAGTAAACCTTGCAATACATATTATCGCTTCTCTTATTTGTTGTTTACAACAAAGATAAATTCAAATTAAATTCTGATGTCTATAACATGAATACTAGACAAAAATATAACTTCCACCTACCCTCATCAACTTTATCAGTATATCAAAAAGGAGTCTACTTTACTGGCATAAAAGTGTTCAACAATCTGCCACAAAGTATTAAAAACTTGGGCAATGATACTAAAAAGTTTAAATCAGAGTTAAAGAATTATCTACATGCTCATTCCTTCTACTCTTTAGATGAATACTTCAATGTAAATAGAGAATGATGTAAAATTAAGTTATATTAATTTTTAATCTAAAATTGCCTGTACTTATGTATGTAACCTTTTGACTTGTTCTGTATCCAAAGGTACTAACCTGCTTAGGATTTATAGAATGTAAATAAATTCAATTCAATTCAATTCAATTGCATAGCAAGCTGCATTTAATTTAGGTTGGAGTGAGCTGGTTGTTGCTCATAATCTCTCTCTCTGCGAGATTGAACTACTAAACGAGACTCGAGGGGGCGTTACATAGTGTGACAATTTAGAGATGACTGCGAATTTCACAGCTCATTTAGTTGACCGGCAGAGATTAGCTGATAAAATATTTGGAGAGTAAACATTTTGAATATTTTCAAAGACTTATACAGAGCGAGAACACTCAAAATACAAAAATGAAATCATTGCTTGCAACACAACCATTTCATCATCTGAAAAGTCTTCTTCCTACAACAAGTTAGACTTATTAGAATTACGTTTAAGATATGTTTGGGCATCCTCTGTTATTAATAAATTACATCTGGAAACTGTGTTCACACATATATATGTTTATCGTACATTTCCTTCATATCAAATTTTGTTACGGAATGCATTTCCTACTGCTGAAGGTTGTAGCTGGTGGTGAATCATGCGATGTCCACGAGATGTCAGTACTAAACCTTGCCTCAGAAATGACGCGAGACCAGGAAAATGTCTGTCGTGCACCAGGATAACAGGATACCGTAGGAGGTATTTGGCTGTTCTAATTAATTTTGGTTCACAAATTTTTCATACTTGCAGCAAGGAACCGGAACTGAAAATTAAGTCAAAATAGCGATGTTTTGCTTACTCTTTCACAGAATATCGCCAATAAAACGAGGATGCAAAATATCAAGATCGAAAACATATGAAGCCTAAATAGAAATTCCAAACTCACTAACTACTAACCAAAGTAGTCTTCACAATTATTATAATGAATTTTAACTATAGAAATCCCATGAAGCAGACAATACAGTTAATAAAGGCACAAGTATCAGAATAACAAGTAACCACATGTGTCAATACTATGAACTTTGCAGCCATCTTATGATCCATACACATGCAAACTTATAGCCCTGTCTGGCACTGTAAAATTTTTAATAAAACGATAAAACATTTGTGAAGTACACAATACTGCACAAACTGAATGTCAGTCTCTGTCTGCAAACACGTCATTTTCATCATACATGAGTGCAGGAAATTCTGAAACATGACACATGCTGGGAATTTCAATATAAAAATCACACAAAGGGAAAATGTTTCACAGCTGTATTCCTTCCTTGAAAAAAAAAAAAACTGTGTGAATAGTAGCTCTCTTAAAACATGACATTTTGAAACTCTGTGTAGTCCATGTGGAATTGCAGATTGCTGAAGTAACACTGAGGTACAACAATTTTTCCATGGCAGTTACCATTTCACCAATGGAATCGCTATGGGATGGTGCTTAATACATGACAACATATTGAATCTCTGGGCAGTCCATGTGGAATTGCAGATGGTTGAAGTAACACTAAGGCACAATAGTGTTCCCATGCCAGTTATCATTCCACAAATTCTCCAGACACACTAATCATTAGGGGCCGGTAATAGAGGACCATCTGAGGCTGCAGAACACTCCTACAACTAGTGTTAAGGAAGGCTTACAAAACCTGAACACTGTGATTTTTGTTGAGGTCCATTAAAAGCTTAAATCATTCCTTTATTTGCTTGACTATAATGTGTTGGACAATAACCATAATCCCAATTTATTCTCAAATTTAATGTTATTCGGAGTTATATGGAAGCTGTGAGAACATCTGCACTAGTGATGCATTGTCTTGGATTGTTCTCTCACCCTCTGGGTGTGGTATATTATCACTTTTATCTTGCATTTCCTGAAAATCTTGAGGAATGTATAACTTGGAACTTGTTTCTACACCATTTTGTTTGCGCAGTTCATAATATGCCCAGTGTTTCGCAACTTCTGGGTGTATATCTTTCCGATATGCCATGCAATGAATGTGTGGTAATTTTTCATAATAACCTAGTGAAAACCCCAACTGTGCCAGTGTGATTCTCCAGCTTTTCATTAGTGGGGCATTTGCTGATGAATGTTTTGAATCTGGAGTGATAATAAACAAAAGACCTTCTGGTTTTAAAAGGTTGTATGCCTTACAGACACATAAGTATCTTTGCTTTGGAGATGGAAAATATTCCAGCAGTAGAGAAAATACAACAACATCACATGTAGCTGCTGGAAGTTCTACAACAGACCTGCCATTCAGAATCACTGGTTCTTCAGTTTCAACAACAGCCATATTTAGAAAGTCACATACATATACATCAGGTTTTGCTGGAGCAATATCAATAGGAATAACATTTAAGAATGGATATACTCTGAAAGGATTGTAACAACTACCAACATCCAACAATGTAAGACATTCACCATCACCTTGCACTTCTTTACTTGAAATAACTCTGACACATAAAGCACATGTTTCTCCACATTTTTCTACAGCATTTCCAGTTTTCTTAATTTTCTTCTTCTCTTTGATCCTTCTCATCTCCATTTCTCCTTTAAAAAAATACAGCACACATTTTTCAACTATCCATTTTATTCGGCACTGAGCACTTTTCTTTTCATCTGCTGAATTTTGTTCCCAGAATGTAGAGGCCAATTTCTGCATTGAAACTGCATATTTCTGCAAAATATCTGTTTTCATGCAGTGTTCTTTCCATGCTTTGTCAGCACCAATTTTCTGAGCCTCCGATCTCAGCATCTGATGTATGCTCTTCACAAAGGCAGAAAGTTGCTGATGTTCCTCAGCAGCCATCCTGACTTGCTTGCAATATCCATTTCCACATGAACATCTTCCATATGCTGGATGATTCTTATAGGTGGCAGGACTCAAGCTCATGTGAGATGGCAGCTAACTAGTGGCCACAGGAATAAGAGAAGACCAAACTGCACATAACTTAATCCGAATCTTATTTCCATCCATCTGGAACAGAAACGTTGATGTATATCTAGTGACAAATGACAAACACTGGATAATTAGGGACACGTGTACAAAGGGTATGAAATGGTTGTATAATCCTCAATCTATTCACTACTCTGCATGTTTCATCTCCAAAGTACTCAACTGATTTCAGTAAATTCTAGTATTGTGAGTCCACACAAAATGCTCCTAGGGAGATTCCATTTTGTAACACATCAGTTCACTATGACTACTACTCTACACGAAATGCAGATAAACTTCTAGTAGAAACGGTTTTTGATGTGGTGCAAATGTAATGAAACACAAGAATAAATAATAAAGCAGAACAAATGTTCACTCCCATTACAACACATACTAAAAAGCTGTTTCTGTCCAAATCTGACATGTTGATATGAAAAATTACTGTCACAAAGTTTAGCATTCATGATACTTTTTGTTGTCACCATCCTTTTTCTTGGGTATGAAAGACATGTAAACACAGTAACACTTCATACACGATTTGAACTAATTATGTAATTTATATGAGAATTAACTTTTTTTCATTAATGAAACAGCATATTCCCAGCCATCCCACAGCTCTGGCAATTTGCTGCCTGGTTTGTTCCCAGGTCATGTCATGTGGGATCCGTGGTGGATATAGTGGCACTGGGAAAGATTATCTCCGAGTATGTCGACTTTCCCTGCCAGTTCTCATTCCGACAACTTCATATTCACTAATCATCTTGTCATCAATTGCTATGTAGTTGTTAAATGTCAAACACCCTATGGTTGACAAAGTCATAAGCATACTATGGAAAAATACAGAAGTGAAAAAGAAATTCTGGGAATGACTATTGCCTACTTTCATTTGATATGACACAGACTGCACAGAAAATGAAAACATTGGGGGAGGGGGGAAAGATAGACAGCAAGGTAAACTTAATAGTCTTCTAATGAAAATTACGGGTGATACACAGACACAGCAAGGTGAGCTCATAACCATCCTTTTTATTTTTTCAAAATAAGGAATGTAGGCTAAAAAGGTAAGCAACAAATCACAACCCTGGGTTACGTGTGGATGAACATGTAACTAACACAATTCTGACAGTTTTATAAAGCTTTAGTGATCTTAATCATCCCATGACTTATTGAGATTGCCAAAATTGTAGGTTATTGTTTAATTAAATATCTCTCTCTAAAACTACTTCCATGGTAACTGATTCAAGGGTGCTGAAAACTTTACCCTGGCCAATGTTGCATTAATATTCTTAATTATGACTGGTACAATGTTCTGTCAGCAGCACTGCCTAGGAAGTGATTACTACACAGACATAAATGTGTCATGTCCCTTTAGAAGTGACTTACGATATCTGCACTTCATGTTGAAGAACCCACACTACCGACAAAGTTGTACTAGTAGTTTTAATGTTAAGAGTTCTACCTTCTGGATATAATGCCATTTTGTCTGCTAAAAGTCAACTGATGTTTCAGAGGATCATGTCACTTCCATCTTCAGGGTCAGAGAATAGGCCAAGCAAGTGGCAAGCAGATTACGGACTACGTGGGGTTATATCCCAGAGACAGAATGTTTTATAGCCATTGTTATGAAAACTTCAAATCCTATAAGTTTTAATGTGTTTTCTGTTTGCACCAACTTTTATTAAGTGTGAAAACTTCCAAAATGTTGTCAAAACGCCTGTGTTTAAAAATTTGTACTCCACAGAAACAGACAGATGATTACCAATTTAAAATGAAATGAATCAAATCTGGTTTCAGTCAGAGTATGAAACACAGGAATAGAAACTGACTTGTATGGCATGTGGGGGAGGGAGGTACAGCTGACCCTGTGCTTAATTAAGTACTATGCCATGAAGACACATGGGGCAGTGGAGGTATAGCTCCACTCTGTTACCTAGGCACTAGGTGGAAGTAAGTGGCCAGCTACATGTCCCAGCCGCTTTACCCTCAGGGGAAAGATACCCACTGAATAGGAGGCTGGGTAGGCCCCAGAGTTGGTTGGGATGATGTGGAGAAAAATCTTGCACTGCCAAGAATCAAACCCACATCGTCCAGACCATAAGTACACTGACCAAGCTATTCCGACCACGTGGACCAAATATTTTTTTCCTAATTATCTTAATATTGTGACTGGCTGAAAGCCAGAATAGTGGAATGAGCAGAGGCAGTCATCTCTAGGCAGCAGCTCAGTAAACGTTTCCTTGGAAACAGATAATGAACCAACAATAGAGGATTTTGTGTTTTCTACATGGCCATTGTTACACAATGGCATTTAAACACGTTTCCACACCAAGAAACAAAATGGAACAAAAGAGGAACTGTTGCCTCAGCAATTTTAGGGGCTGTGATGTTGATAATGTTGATACTACTGATGGGAGGGATTTATGATGTACACTGTTGGAATGGGCTCAGCTGGCATGATAAAGCAAGTGCCATAAAAACTGGTTCAGGCATTCAGAAGTTGTTTGGGGGGGGGGAGACTCTATTTGTCCACTACCACAAGTGAGATCCTGCAACTACTATATGGTACCTGTAGATTGATTAACAAGGGGAGGTCATCATTTTTCATTTGACAACTTCAGTTTAGAGATAAAATAGCTAGCAGACAAAAATAAACAAATATGTGCTGCCCTTAAGTCCAGCCACCTATCCAGAAGGGCATGAAGGATGACAGGTTTTAATACTTTTTTGTGTGTATATACAGCATGCGCCAAAGCAGACAGTACTGAGATGAAAAGACGTGCTGTTGATACCACTGTCTATTCATGTGAAGGCCCCCTGCATGACAGAACCTTCTCGAATGCTGAAGAAATGGTCCGATCACCATGTCCCTTTAGTGTTCTTGGGTGATGATAAGAGCATTGCTTTCCTCATCCTCAATGAAAGAGGGGCCTAATATACCGTGTCCTGAGATGGCACACCATATCGTCACATATGTACCATGTAGCGGTTTCTGGACGATAACCTCTGGCTGCTCAAAACCAAGGAAGTGAGTTGTCTGGCGACCACTTCAGTCTGAGCAGAAATAATAGTCAACTATGAATACTCTTTCCTCTGTAGAGACCCATTTCCAAGAACTGCACAAGACAGCTTTTCACTACTGGGAACACGTGCGGCTAGAGCTATGTCCTGCTGACAAACGCACATGCACGTTTGAGATGCGCAAGTTTCAGTACTGAACTTTTGGCGCATACTGTACTTTTAACGCCAAAATATTTCACTCTCCATGGCAAGCAGATACTAATTTTGTGACAAGCCAAGTTGCATGTGTTACAGTGGAGACTCAAAGCTTTGAGTGAAGAGTAGCAAACTTTGAAGGTGCATAACAATGAAGCGAAACAAAATCCATTTTGTCACATGATACAAATGCTTCTGAAAATTATACTCATTCATGGAGCTGAGCCCTCCTTGGGAAGCTGCCATCTGTGAGCTACTATAGAACTTACCAGCATTTCATGGCATCTGAAGGTTCATTACCGTGTTCACAAGAGCCCTCCACTAGTCCCTATCCAAAGCCAGATCAATCCAATACACACTACATCAGCCTATCTCTCTAAGATCCATCTTAATATAGTCCACCCACCTATACCTTGGTCTTCCTAGTGGTCTCTTTCCCTTTGGTTTTCCCACCAATATCCTATATGCATTCCTCTTTTCCCCATTCATGCCTACATGCCCTGTAAATCTCATCCTTCTCGACTTGACCATTCTAATTATAACTGGAGAAGAGAACAAGTTATGAAGCTCCTCATTATGCAATTTTTTCCAATCTCCTGTCACTTCTTCTCTCTTTGGTTCAAATATTCTCAACACCCTGTTCCCAAACACCTTCAGTCTCTGCTCCTCCCTTAATGTCAAAGACCAAGTTTCACATCCATATACGTGGGTCATTTCATAAATAATACACAGGTTGGCAACACTGCGGATTAGATGACGCAACAACAGTTAGCCTCACGTCAGTTACAGTTCAGGGCTTGAGAAAGAACCGCGTTATTTTGTTTCATTTATAATATACTCTGTTCTTAAATAACGTGAGTTAGAAATGGAGCCTGCACGGTTCTTGGGTATTGTGAATGTTGAAGATCAAAGGTCATACATTAAGATCAAAACTTTACATGGAAAAAACCCAACAGAAATCCAGTGCATTAAGTGAAGTTTGTGGCGAGTTAACAGTGGACTGTAGTACAGTTTCCCCACGACCAAAATAATTTTGACGATCTCAAAGGTCATACAAATTATGATCTTTGCTTATCATCACCAAGGAATCATCATGACAGACAGAGTTCCGTGCGGCAAAAGTGTCACACCAGTTTATTATCGTGACTTTATGCAAAATCTGTGCAGAAAAATGCACAAAAACTGACCTCAGTTGCTCAAGGCTGGGCCGATCATTCTCCATGACAATGCTCGCCCGCACACCGGGAATGTCGTAACAGAAAAGCTGCACCAATACAGTTGGGAGGTGTTGCCTCATGCTCCCTACAGCCCGGACATGAATCCACCAGACTTCGACTTATTCCCAAAGTTGAAACAACCTATGTGAGGCTGTCGTTTTCCCTCTCTGGAAGAGCTTTCTGCTGCAGTTACCCAAGCCATTCGACAGATAAACAAAGATGGTGTCCTGGATGGAATAGTAAAGCTTCCCACACGTTGGGACTCGGTCATTGAGAAGCAGGGGGACTATATTGAAGGACTATAAAGAGATATTAAAAAAAATAAACACTGACATAAACAAAAAATTGTGTGCATTATTTCTGAAATGACCTACGTAGAAACACAGGCATAATTATATGTTTGTATATTCTAATTTTTGTTTTTAAACAGATGAGAAGATAGAAGTTCTGGACTGAATCGTAGCAAGCATTTCCTGAGTTCAGTGTCCTCTTAATTTCCTCCTGAATCAGGTATCAACTTCCTATAGTCGTTCCAAAATATGTGAACTGTGCCACATTTTCAGAACATCTGTTACCTATCTTTATGTCATGATTTTGCCCTGCATTTTGATG